GGTCGGTCAGGGTGGAAGTGTGTATGTGCATGTGTGGTGGTGTTTTTTGTGGTGTGGATGTGATTGACCTGACTGGACCGTTGAAGTCGGTAGCTGCCCGGACTCCGGCACCGCTCCAAATTATGGTAATCTCCAGCGACGTCACCCACGGTCAATTTCTTTCTTCTTCACTATGTCAGTCTATTGACTTTATCGTACAATTAACTAACTTCAAGATGCAACTAACTCCCATTTATTATAAAGCATAACACGCAGTACGACTCGTAGGTCAAAGTTCACCTTCACTCACTCCGCAACAAATTGTTTCGAGAACCTAACACGACCTTCTCTAGTGTCACACGGTTCAGCGTTAAAGACCACTAAGTTCCCTTGTTCGATACCAAAACACCACGCCACGATAAGAATTCAAAATACGCCTCATTGACACGTGAAACTAACAAACCAGCCAACACACAAAAAAGGGCACTTAACGCGACGGCACAATTATAATGATTTCCAGACAAGCAACCGGGAGACGCTCTCGAACAAGGATTGCGCGGTTCGAATCCTAGACCGTATATCTACACGGCGCGCGCGTGCAAAATTCCGCGTCACCCGAGCAAGTTAAATATTGCAAAATTCACTTTCAAACGCAATCACTATATAATTTGCACAATTACTTTAATCAGTCGAACACAATAATAGCCTCTTGTCAAAACTTAAACCCTAGAGAACCTAATCCGAGGCGGTTTTCACGAAACCCATTACGTAGCGAAGTAGCGCGCACTAAATCTAACTATCGCGTGAACTTCTGCCGCGATAAGCGAGATACGCGGATTCACGGCATCGCGGCCAGCGAGCTACTCCCTATCTTTGCCCACGCGTCGATCCACTGCAAGCCGCACACGGCCGCCCTACCTGGCGGCGTTTATCTCACCTCCATACCATCGGGTGACGCGCCAGCTCTAACGCGATTGGATGGCGTTCAAAATGACCAATTTTGGGCATTAACAGCCATATTTACTAAAAGCTTTAAATTATTTAATTTTAAATTCAAATTTTAATAACTTATGAATTCTATTTTATTACAATCCAAAATAAAGCAAATTAATTACTGATTCTGGAATTGGTAAGAAATCAAGCATGACAGCCAAATACACGAAAATAAAAACTCGCCAAGTGCGTGTTGGGTCACGCACAATGTAGAGGTAGGGTTCCGTAGTTGCTAGTCACAATACGTGGGCTTTCTTGATAATGAGCATAATAAGTGAGTTCGGCGTTTGACCGTTACAATGACTAAAAAAGGGCCCAAATAGGAAAAAGAAAAGGAAGTAGCTGAAGGACTTATTTTCAAATCAGACTTATAGGGAGTGGTATTCAAAAAAGATAAAAAAATCGATTTTGAGAGAAGAAAGTCGAAAAATCGATGCCAAGTAAGTGCAAATTTGATCATAGTTGACTATCTATCTGCAACCCTAAGATATACATATATCTATGACCGTAACGCACCTTCACTTTAACCAGCACTGCCCTAAATTATCCTGAGGTTGCCCGCCTAAACCAAGTGTGACGAATGAAACTGTATGAGGCAATATGATTGCATGAATACTTTGAACGAGGCCTACAATAACTTCCAACTAAAAACTAAGTGAAAGTAGTAAGTAAGTAAGAAAGATCCTCCCTGCCTACGGAACCCTAAAAAACAAGAACATGCAATCTTATAGGAGGATATATTCATAGATACAACTAATCAAACGTTTCCTGAGTACAGTCACATCTTTGACAGGTGACCTTGATACTTACTTGGTTAATTAGCCTTTGTATTGACATTCTCTTTTATTAGTGAATTGGACCCTAATAATGTCCATGAAATTCTTCACTATAGGCTTAAAAAGGATTTGTAATTTATTATTTTATCAGTGAATTTCTATAACTAGTTTCGAGATCGTAATTTGTACAAAAGGACTTATTTCGCTGTTTATTTTTCATAAGGAAACTTTTAACATAGCATACGAGATATTGATTATTCTCTAAGCTTACAAAGCGGGACATCTGGCAACGGTTGTAAATACGAACGCAAACAGCATTTCAAATATGCATGGGCCACACCTTATTACGTGAACATATTACGTATTACGTATATATTGCGTGTGTATTCACTTGCTATTGTATTTAACACTAATTAAGAATTAAGAAAATTTTAATATAATCACATTAATTTTTCACACACACACATATATATATATCATAAGCGAAAGTGCTTCCTTCCCTTGTCATTGACTTATTGAATCAGATATCGAACTAGGAATTCCTTTCAAGGTATTGGCGCGGTCGACTAGTTTTTGTAGCATCGGGTCAATAGTCAAGTCTAACTCAGTATATATTTTAACTTATACGTAATTATCAAGAATTATTTCCACTCTTCGTCTTGAGTATTTTTACATTTTGTAGTCTACTAGTCTTTTGAAATTTTGTTTTTCCTGATACTTTTTCATTATGTGTACGTAATTAATACATATGTCTTCTTTTATATATTAATAATAGGTCGGGGAAAAAGTTTCTTCGCATTTTGTTTGTATAAAATTGAAGAAAAATCTCTTTGCTTGCACTGTTTTTATCTGGCTAGTTTTAGTAACAATACATACAAGACATCAAGAAAAAGTAAAATAATAAGTAAAACACTTTCCCGCCATTTTTCAATTGTTTTTCTGTCCGCCAAAATGAGCGAATCAAACGAAGAAATTCGATACTTTCGGAAGTTTTCTTACAAAAAAGTAAAAATGCGAATCAAGACGCGAAAAAACTTGTGACATTTATGGACCTAATGCAGTGTCAGTAAGAGTAGCACAAAATTGGTTCAAGCGTTTTTAGTTCGGGAATATTGATGTCAAATATAATATAGGTATGCTCGCTCTGGTCGCTCCATACGAATAAAGTCGATGGCATTTTTGAAACAGTGGAGCTAGATCGGCACATTAGTAGTTACAACATAGCCAAAGAGTTGAGAATTGACCACAAAACAGTTTCGACCCATTGGATAAAGTCTGGCTATACAAAAACGCTCAATATTTGGGTACCACACGAGCTCACTGAAAGAAACCTAATGAATCGTGTACTAATTTGCGATTCTCTATTGAAACGTAATGAAACAAAACCATTTCTGGAAATGTTGATCACTGGTGATGAAAAGTGGATCACACAGGCTCGTGCGAAAAAATCATGGTTAAATGGTAGTCAAGCTCCACGACCTGTGAAACCCGGATTAACACGCAATAAAGTGATGATGTATGTATGGTGGGTGGGCATCGTTTATTATGAGCTTTTACCGCCGGGCAAAACCATCGATTCGGGTCTTTACTACCAACAATTAATGAGACTCAAACAAGAAATTGAGAAAAAACGGCCGGAATCGATCAACAGAAAAGCATTTCTGGCCAGTGATTTTCTGGCCAGGAAAAGTAGTCTTTCATCATGAAAACGCCAGACCACACACATCTTTGGCCACTCAGAAAAAATTGAGAGAGCTTGGTTGGGAAGTGTTAATGCATACACCGTGTAGTCCTGACCCTTGCACCCTCAGATTTTTACTCTTCTTTCTTACGAATTCTTTAGGTAGTGTTAGATTAACATCAAAAGAGGACTATCAAAACTACTTGTCGCATTTTCTTCGATCAAAAATCCCAAGATTTCTACAGCAACGGGATTATGTCACTACCTACAAGATTGTAACACGTTGTCGAACAAAATGGCACAAATATATTATAATTAAATGTCATTAAACTTTGAAAAGAAAATGTCTTGAATTTGTATATATAATATGAAGAAATTTTTTCCCCGATCTATTGACAATAATAATGTTTTTCAAACTGAATTTTGATCACAGCAGCGATCACCAACGGAGTCTAGCCATCTGCGCAGGATACGTTTATAGTGCCCGAATTTATTCGCAAGCACAGGTGCATTCTTTATACCCCCATTCTCATAGTCCGATGAAACTAACTGCCAATTCGGCAATCTGACACGATCGGATAGAGATCAGGCGCGGAACCCAAGAGTGTAATAACCATCCGCAAGACCCCCTTGGTCTTTCACGTAATTTCCGAGGCACGAGGGCCAACTTCCTGATACCAAACTGTTTCTGAAAATTTCTCGACACAAAAACTCAGAGTTTGGGCCCAGGATGAACAGTTGAACCAGTTGACTTGACCAACGAGACAGTCTATAGAATTCAGAAAATATTATATATATTTCGAATTTTCTCAATGTCGTTACTATGCCCGTTGGGATATTCTACTAGTGTAGGCAAGGAAGGTCGTGTTACTGAGAGGCTGACCTGTGTTACATTGAGCTGTTGGTTTGCATACTTTGGTCCCGATAGTAAGCAGTGTTGTAACCCGAGTAGTGTTCTTTTATTTAAATACTTTTGAGGATAATTTCTAACATCAGAAGTGGAATAGTTTGTTACAGTGTCAGTCTAATGAAGTGAAATAGTTTGTTACAGTATATTAAGATTTTCACAATTTAACAATGTATAATCTATAATAGATAGTCACGATTCGACAATGTAAAGCTTTTATATACAGAGTTATTTTGCAATAACCGGCCAAATTGGCAGAGAAGATTCAGAATAAGCAGATGGTGAAGAAAACTTCTGTGTACTGCATGTGCTGTTGTTTTTATCTTTTAAATTCAAAATGCGTGTTAATGCATTATTTTAATTGATTTTACTGCGCACCTACACAAAGGTCAATCGGTAGGCATTCTTCATCGTTGTTGCGCATAAATCTCATTCAATTTACGATAATTTCAAATAAATGTAGAAAGCCTTATTTACTCGCATTTTCAAACACTGCAATAAAGACATATTACTATTTTTATATATTAAACTTAAGTTTAAAATTTGGCTACAGTTTGAAACATAACGCTCTTAAATAAAAATATGTATAACCATTAGGTAATTTCTCCCTTTGTTTTTGTTTTCTTGAAAAAGTTCACGGCTGATTCAATTTTTCTTGTTGTAGATCGAGAAGAAGTCTATTGTTGCTGACATTTGTGTTGGTGGAGACACTAGCGCAGACAAACAGAATAGAAGACACAAATATTCAATCAGTGCCAAGTGATCTACGGCGAGTTGTGAGTGAAGCATTAGCCTTAGAAAGAAGGTTTCTATTAGGTTCTAACGACATGTAAGTAATTCAAGTAATAATTTATAATTTCACCAATTTGAAAAAAGTCTTTTGCAGGAGATATTGTAGATGTATACATGCATTTTGAGGCTATCGAAATTTTATTTTACTCTGATTTTAGATACATTCCCGTGTGATTTTTACTTATAATGTCATAATTCATACCATCATACTTATACTATAAGCATTTAATAATTTATACACACAGACCACTAATTTTTTTTTATTTAAAATAGCCGACTTTAAGTAAGGAGAAGGTTTTCAATTCGAGATAACAAAAGCATTAATAAATTAATAATTGGACAAGATAGTACTCAATGGCACAAATAATTCGATTTATTGTAATACATGGCTAATGCCGTAGAAATGCTTATTTTATTAGTACTTTTTGATAAACTGGCTTAAATGTGGTTGACCAAATATGAATAGCTCCAATTATAAAAGTACACTGTTGAACATAGGCCTACCCCATAGCCGCACAGGAGGAATTTTGCCATAGTTGCCACGCTTGGTGGACAAACTCAGTTTATAATTTATAATTTTTAGTTGACAAAAGGAACATACTGCTATCCATTTCTTGTATCAGTTTCCCTCTGTCGCCTCATACGACACCCACGTTACAATATGGGGTAGCAGGTATTGTTATACCACCACTACACGGTTAAATATGAATACCTATTTTAACTAACATTATTTTATGTCTCCTAAAAGCAAATTCGTGATCACGCTATTTAACTATTTGCATTACGTCTGAGTTTTTTATTAGTTCATTAGATCTTGGTTATAAAATATTATCTACTACCGCAAAACATTTAAAACATTTTGTATTAGACTTCATATTAAATTAATATACTTTAATGCGATAGACAGCGTGAATATAAATGTCCATTCGTACCTTAGCGTATAATAGAGTTAATGTGTGAACCATAACTAGTTTTGACCGAATTAGAAAAAATAAATTTAGAATTTGAAATGTATTGTTATGATTATTGAATATTATAACATGAATATATTTATGTGACCGTGTAGTGGTGATATAAGAATATCCACTACCATATATCAACAAACCAGGAGACGGATAGCAGCGTCTGCCTATGAGGCTATCTTTGAGGGAGGCCTACATTCAGCAGTGGACTTTTAGGTCTTAAAACTTGAGAAAATATTATTGGTAATCTACCAAGTGAAACCCTATTTTACGGGTGTTCCTACACAGCTTACTTTATTAATTTTATAATTACTTTATTAGTAATCATACGCGTAGGACTTAAACAGAAGAACAACTTGCAGATATATAATAGTGACAGTGATTTTTAGGCTAGTGGGTCAATTATGGAAAAACACTTTAAACGAAAAAATGTGTGTAATATTGAAAAATATTTAAAATGAAAATCCCTTTATTTCACGTATTTTCACCTAATTTTATCACTTTTTTTTTGGATAAGTTTGATAAACGAGCACACAGTGCACCTGATGGTAAGTGGTTGCTGTAGCTCATAGACATGTACATCTATCCTAAATTACGAATCAAAATGCAGATGCGTTGTCACCAATGAGGACTAAGATGGAATGCCTCGTTTTCAGTAATAAGGTATCCGGTTCTCTACGCTCACCACACGAAACACAGATGCATTAAACTGCTATTTTACCCTGGTATTCTGTGAGAGCGTGGTCCTTCCCCGTTCAAGCCGACCCATTTGTGCTACAACTATACCAGAAATATAGGTGTAACATGGCTGTGCCACGTACATATATAACTTACACTTTACACTTATACTTTTGTTGTAAACATGTAGATTTTGCATCTCAACTTCAAGAAATAGAAGACGAAGATTGAGGACCTTTTTTGTGTAACGTTACAAATTACAACAGTCTTGCTCTAAACTTTTTTATATCTATTATAGTTTTGGAGATAATTAGCAAAAACTGTTAATATTATCAGTATTTCAAATTTAACAAAAAGTCTACATGTTTTCGGATAAAATATAGCCTAGATCACTATTGGCGTTGATATCTATCTGTTCGTAAAGTTTTATTATAATCGGTTTAGCCATTCCAAAGATAAGGACCAGACAGACATACAGAGTTTTTTTTAATGGTTATACATGTCTTAATAATATGCAAATAAATTCCTGAACTTAATAGAAACCGGTTATTTCGATATTGCAGGCAGGTACTACAATTTTATTTATATTTAGAAGAAATACTATTATATAATATGCTGGTTTAATCTTTATATATAAAAATTACGTGTCACATTGTTTGTCTGCGATAAACTCCTAAACCACTGAAATGATTTCAATGAAATTTTGCACACTGTGTGCAGTTTGGTCCAACTTGAGAGATATGATAGTTTTTATCCCGATAAGTGACCCTCAGTATTTTTTGTTGCAAATTTAAATATTTTTATAGTACAGAGGTTCGCCGCTAAGGGCAGTACAACGTCTGCCTGGCCAGCTAGTATTATTATATAAGTTCGGCTTCACCCAGATACCACGCTCGCGCACTACACCAGCGTGATGAGAAATGGCAGCATAATGCTGTATTATGTGCCATGTTTAACGAGGCATTCTGTCTTAGTTCTCAGGCATGACAACGTATCTGTATTTAGAATTTTATTCGAGGATAGATGCAGGTGTCCACTTATAAACAGGTGAACGGTGTGCTCGCATTTCCCCTTCCCTTTCATACAAAAATTCTTAATAATTACCTATCGTTATAAAAATTATTTAAAAAAGAAATAGGTATACAAATTTATAAATATAGTTAAGATTTACTCTATAATTGAATATATATATAATTGGCATACAGATTAATTTTAAAAAGTAGATATTTTATGTTTTATATCATAATTAAATTTTCGTTACAAAACTTTTTTTAAACTAATTATAAATTAACAAATAACATAGAGGTGGAACAATTTCGGATTCTGCTGGAGCATTTATGGAGCTATTAATTTGGCATACAGTTTAGTTAAAAAAAATAATGTTCTACGCTAACTTCCATCTGGTACAAAAAAGTCTTATGCGTAGCCATGAGTGCGAGAAAGATAGCTTATCGAAACATGCCGACATGGGATGGGGGCCTAAGCTTCTATCTCTAAGTGATTGGTTACTAAGAAATATCTTTTTTAAAGATTTTAAGATTAAATTCTTGTTTTGGGATTTAGCATGTATGTACGTGCATATATGACCATGTAAATATCTGTGACCGACAAACAATGTGACACGTAATTTTTATATGTAAAGATATATATTTAATTGTAAATAAATGTAATTTAGAACTTAATTATAACGTAAATTGTGTGATTCATGCAGACAAAATTGTACATCTGAGGAGAATGAAATAAGCACGACTCCATGCCCGCCCAGCAAGTACCGTAGTGCAAGTGGTGAATGCAACAACGTGCGCCACAGGCCGTGGGGGCGCAGAGGCGACGTGTTTCTCAGATTATTGCGTCCACACTACGCTGATGGTAAGTAAATTTTGAATGTCTCGGGATATTTTTTTGATATTTAAGCTGAAGTGGCAATGGGTCGGCCATATAGCTCGAAGATCGACAACCGACGGGGAGGAAAGGTTCTCGAGTGAGTGGCAGCCTCGTACCGGCAGGCGAAGTCGAGGTCGTCCCCCCCGCACTAGATGGAGTGACGACCTGGTAAGACATGCAGAAATTCGATAAATTCAGGTTGCTCAGGACCGTAGTATTCCTTGAGGAAGGCCTATGTTCAGCAGTGGACTTTAGAATAGCTGTAATGATGATGATGATTTTTGAAATTATGTTCAAAAATCATTTCAATGTCTCACTATAAGACAGGTCTTCACTTATTTTTGAAGTGCCATGAGATAGGTGAATTAATTATCCCATGTCTTCCAACTTGTATTGTAAGAGGCGATTATGGGATATGTTTGAAAGGTAGTATGTTCTTAGATAGTTGTCAGTGCAGCCATTTTATCAATGCCAGCTAAAAGTCTAGATCGGAAAAAGAGAGTAGCGTCAAAGGTACGTGGAAATTATCATTAATCATAGAGTATTTACACTAGGAAAGGCTACAGAACACTGTGTAGTCAGAGAGATGTCTATAGAAACTAGTATTTACCTATATGTGCTACAGCTGGGCACATGTCTTCTCTCATTAATAGAGAAAAGTCGTCAATACTTATTGACAGTCTTTACAAGTGTTCAAAATATTTCCATTATTGAGATTACTTTACGATGTTTTTATTCAACGCCGAACGCGTGGTAAATCAGGATTTTAAATAGCAATTTACAAATTAATTAGTGTGGGCAGGGACCAAACTCAGTTTAGGAAGCTTGCTTATTCCTTAACCAATAGTCGCTCATTCGGTAAAAATAAAAAAAATGCGTGAGTGTCGTGGAACACTCGGTTGGAATGAAGTTCCTTTCGTAGTCTATTATTATTGGTAAATAGTATAGAAATAGGTATAGGTATAGCGTATAGAAATAGGTAATATATTATTGATTAACAAACAAATAAATAATTTAAAATAAAATAATATTTCTTTCACGGCAAGATAAGAAAAAGTGCGAGGGAGATAGATATTATTCCATCTTGCTTCCTTATATACGCCAAGGCCGGTCTACACTACGTCAGAAGAGATCGTGACGGAAAAATCTTACACTCTTTGTCGCCTAGCCCCCATCCGCCAAATTCGTACCGTCCGATAAAGAACTTCGTTTCAATACGTTATAATAGAAATTAGCTATATCCAATTTGTAATATTAATATCAATTTTAAAAACATCTGATCAGAGATCATCATCAGATTTTAAAAACACGTCAATTAAATCCATAATAGGCCACCGTTACTAATTTAACTGTGAATATTATAATATAATTTAAAGTTAAACCCCAAATAAATACAAAACAAATTAAGGTGATTCGTTTTATGTAATACTAGCGTATAGAGATAGGTAATATTTAGTAAATTTCATAATAAGTAGAATAGGGAAGTTATTTATAGAATTGGCAATTTTTATTACTCATCTGCAAACCAACTGAGTCATGTTGTGTTAAATAAAAACTCCATTAACAATTTTTAATGCGCACTTAAACTATGTTAATATTGACTTCCGTTTACACATAGTTTTTCTGAACGGTTTTTACACGGGGCTCGCTATGCAATGATAGGCTCCAAAATTTTAATCGCCTTTTTTTAAGTACATCGTAAAACATGCTTCAGTTATGCTATACAATTTCAACTTTAAAAAATTACAAAAAAATGATACCTGCGGAATTTCTTTGTTAATTTTGTTTATCATACGTTCAAGAAATAAATATATTTCATTAAAGTAATTAAAGTTGGTAAAAAATACCTCGCATACATCCGCTCTATAAAATAAAATGATGTGTCTTACCTAGTTTGAAGAGCACCTCCCGCCCTCCCTCAATTGCGTGCACTATCACCGTCACCACTACTCCCAAAACCACTACACTAGGAAAGACACACCACTGACGACAATATGATACGTGTTTCGCCTCTACACGAGGCATCTTCAGCTGATGTAGACTCTGCGCTGGCTGATCGCTAAGTGAAGCGATGTAGTGGTGTTGGGAGTAGTGGTACTAGAATTAGTAGTGACGAAGATAGTGCACGCAATTGAGGGCGGGAGGTGCTCTTAAAACTAGGCACGACACATGGTTTTATTTTATCGAGCGGATGTATGCGAGATAATTTTTACCAACTCTAATATAATGGATTTCCGCAAAGTATCGCCTAATTTTATTAAATATATTTCATTTCCTTTCTAAAACATTAAATACTAATTAATAATGATCTTACATGTGACGATAAAATATGTCTAAAGAAATAATTTTCCCTGTTTTAACGGTAATATTTTATTTATTTTCTGCTTATTATTATTATTCACTAACCCGTAACAGTCCACTACTGGACAACGAACTTTCATATTGTCTACCAAATCCTCTCATTTGCCATAAACATGCTTGGCAAGCGGATTGGCAATAACAGTAAAAAAAACTCGTCACCGGTCGCAATAATTTACAACTAGTATATTATACGAAATGGTTGATGGGGTCATCTATCTGAGCCCATGAGATCGTTCTGACTTTACCCGTAGCCGTCACTAAGGCCGCCACATACATACCGCCACATACATACGGAATTCGGTTTCGGGATTCCGTTTCGGAATTTCGAACGGGTCGGCCACACACATACGGAATCCCGTTTTGCTCGCAAATATGTATGTGGCCGGCCTTACGGCTTACGGTACCCACGGGATACTACGGCGTAGGTATATACACCTGGCTGATTTCACTCACAACGAAAAGTTGTCAAAGCGTAAGAGAGCGTGGGATGCAATTTTTTTTTATAGAATAGGTCGCAAACGAGCATGCGGCTCACCTGATGGTAAGTGACTACCGCCGCCCATGAACAACCGCAACACCAGAGGAATTGCAGATGCGTTGCCGGCCTTTTAGAAAGTTGTAAGCTCTTTTCTTGAAGGTTCCTAAGTCGTATCCGTTCGAAAAATTCGCTGGTGGTAATTGATTCCACAAAGAAGTTGTGCGAGGGAGCAAACTTCTTTTAAATCGCACAGTGGTGGACCGCCAATCATCCAGATGGTATGGATGGTAATGCGAGTTTTGTCGCGGTGAAATTAAGCGGCTGGAATTAGTCCGAACAATTCCTCAGAGCACTCCCCGTGATAGATGCGATAAAATACGCAAAGAGATGCAACATCTCTACGCAGTGCCAGTGTATCGAGCCGATCGGAAAGAACTCGGTCGTCGACGATTCGAATCTCTCTGCGCTGGATGCGGTCAAGTGGAAGGAGCTGGCACTGGGGTGCCCCGGCCCAGAGATGAGAACAGTATTCCATGTGAGGCCGAACCTGCGCCTTGTAAAGTTGCAGGCGGTGTGCCGGCATGAAATACTGTCTCGCTCTGCTGAGCACGCCAAGCTTTTTAGAGGCCAATTTGCAATTGCAATTTATGAGTGCCATTAATTAATTAATCTGTATTTAAGTAATTTGGGCAGTCACTTTTTCACTTAATTAATCATGCAAGCAGTAATAAACTTTTTTGGCAGTGAATAAACTAATACGGGCAGTAAAAATTTTCTGTGAATATTAAAAACTCTGGTTGGTTACTTAACAGCAATGTACTAGTAGTACGGTAGTTTAAATAAATTTCCTGTTCAAAAATCATTTAGAGTGGTAAAAGAAATTATTGGGCAGTTCAATAGATAGTTCGTAAGTTCTCGGCGTAACGTAAAATCCGAACATAATTTGGTTGAAAGGCCACCTAACAAAGCCCCCGACACCAGTTGAACTAGTAAAATTATGCGTATAATTTTACTGGCTCAATTCATTTTTTTCTGTACGCGTATTTATACAATTGCTCATTCTAACGTATCTAGTGTACTTTTTCCGATTTAATAACGGCTCACGCGCTACTGGCAATAATTAATTTTAATAGATTTATCGAATAGATGCTAATTTCGAAATATTTTTCTCTCGATTTCCATTTCTCTTACTGCTTATATTTAACTGCTCAATCCGTTATTAAGCATTCAATTTGAGTATTATATCATAGACGATTTACTTTGTACTATAGATGATAGAAATTGGGACAACATAACCAGACCCGAAATCTAAAAATTTGTATTTTCATACCAATATTGACTACTACTTGTCCTGCTTATATTTCGTTGCAAGAATGAAGTCATTGGAATTGTAGTTTTACAGCAGACTGACGCTAGCTCAGCCGTAGTTTTAGATGGATTCGCTTCCACCATCACCTTGACTTCGTCATTATCAAAGATGTGCTCCTGGTAGTCACAAAGTTTTTTGTTTCATTTGTGAGGTCGAAATTTACCAAATCTAAGCAATTGAACCAATAACTTTAACAAAACAATGTACAGTTCATTTTATTTGAATTTTGAAAACGGAATAACATATTTGAATTTAGAATTTCAAGTGATAAGAGGGCTGGTTCTTTTCTCGGTCAAAGGCTAAGTATAGCCATTCAGCGGGGAAACGCAGCCAGCGTTCTTGGCACGATACCGCGGGGAGTAGGGCTATGTGATAATTAAGTTTCTAATTTTTAGTTTTTTATTATTATTATTATAGTTCTTAATATTGTATATAATAATATATTGTATATTATGACATTTCAAGTCAATAAAGTTCGCAATGACCAGAATTAAACAAAACGGCAATTTCATCAATAGTCAGCATCAAGAGTAAATAGAGTAGATAATATAAAGTGTTGTTCGAGAAGAATGTAATATACAGAAATAAGTATTTTAGAAAAGATACAAAGATTTTGTCTGATTTATTTTTAATTATTACTGTGCATACAGTATTCACTCGCCTGCCAAACGTGGCAACTATGGCAAATATCTCCCTATCAAGCAATTTACGGGGGAGATCGATGCATGACTCCAAATAATTGACGAGCGCACCGTCTAATTGTTAAATACCTGGCTTATCTGGCGTAGCTACTGCATTTGAATACCCACCGTTTTGTGCATTTGTGCAAAAACACAAATTGTTAGTTTTCATAGTCATATACAATACATTTTTAAAACAACATTACTAAATACTTAACTTGGTATCAAATTAGTTAACGTTAAGTAATAATTTACTCCGTAAGATAAAAACAAAATTAAATGCATAATTATTCAATAGTTCTTAAACGAGTTTAAAAAAACGAGGTTATGCGCATATCTTTTTTATGTATAGTCTATGATCTCAGAAACGGAACTGTTTAAATTATTCTTTTAATATGTAAATATAATTATTTTTATGAAATATATATGTATATGTACAATGGTCGGTACTTTCGGGCATAGTCTTATAAATTTAAAGAAAAAAAAAGAGTGGGAGAAATTTCAGTAACAAATAAGTCCAAATTAAAAGTAATTTTAAATCGAACTTATTTGAAGTTCTTCTAAATAATTTAACACGGGAAAAAGTAGCGTAAAGAATGTCTCTACCGTATTTTAGTTCAAGCGTATTTTCCATATTTCAATTGCAGCAATATTATAATTGTCATAAATGAGAGGAGACCTGTGCCCAGCAGTAGAACATATATAGGCTCCACCTTTGACTTTTAATATTAGAATAAAATTTAAATTTTAGAAAACTATTACATATATTATAAAACTCTTATTATAACATTGCCACTTCGGTTTACTAATCCGTTGGGCTATGTCGGTTACTCTAGTTTTATTGCGAATATTTTCCACGCAGAGAAACCCTGAGCATAGCCCTCTCCATAGCTCGCTGAGCGACCTTGAGCTCATATGGCCAGCAATGAAGAACCACGTCTCAGATCTATAAATCATCACTGGCAACAAGCACTGGTTGTACAATCTTGTTTTGAAGCTTTGAGATATGCCTGATGAGAAGATGTGACGTAATCTCCCATAAACTCATTTAATATGCTCATATTAACTAAGAAGGCCTCTTCTAAATTCACGTATTGTGATAGGCAATTACGGAATCCTACCTCTATATAGTGCGTGGCTACACTTAGAAGTTTTTTTATGGATTATATCACTTTTAATTCACTTATCTTTACGCTCCCGACGTTTAGAGTACTTTGCCGCATTGGTGAAGGTGGGCTTAAGGTGTTCGATGGCCCGAAGCTAAAGTTTAGTAATATTAATACTTTGAGTTTAATTTTATTAATTATAGCATCTCAAAGCGGTGATAACACGCAGCCACCTTCTTTTCTAAAATAATGAAGTGTTTTTAATATTAATAGTCTTACGAATCATTCTTGGCAGGAGTCGGTGTTTTTTTTTTGCAAGGAAAGTCTATGAAGTCTTATGTAATGGCCAGGACGATCCTTAACATGTTCGCGAACTGCAGATTTCATAGCATTTTTTGTTATTCTATGTTCCCCCAATCCAAAATCAATTTTTTCACGTGGTAGAGCCATGCTGTAGCTATATCAGTAGTATAGTTGTAGCACGAATGGGTCGGCACGACCGGGGAAGGACCACGCTCTCACAGAAAACCAGCGTAAAATAGCAGCTTAACGCTGCTGTGTTTCGTATCTCTGACATATAATAATACAGCAGACAGGTGTCACTATTAAGTAAGTGCGGTCCCCAAAGCTTGTTGTTGTGCTATACTCGCTTGACGTACTGGAGATCGGATGCTTGTGATTACTGTCACAGAAACAAAGTTTTTCCCAGGGTAGCTAGCTGTAATGGATGGTAGTGGGATTTTAAGACTCTCAAAAACTAATATAATCCTTACAATAATATACGATATTTTTTAAATAGTGTAACAAAACCTTATTTTTATAGGAATATCCCAGCCGCTGTCACCGCCACAAATGCCAGAACCGGCTCTTGCCGTTCAAGCCGCTGCTCAACTCACAGAACCCGCTGAGCACGATTACGTCACCAGCTTACTAGCGGCGTGGGGACAGTTTCTTATGAACGACTTAATAGCCACAGCCAATGGAAATAAGGTAATCAAAATATAATTTGTTACCAACTTACATATAACTCATTTATGAAGAAAAATAGTGCGGCTTTTGCAGTTTACTGCTGAATAAGTCTTTTCACGATTGCGCAATCACGCGGCCTGTTTTCTGTAATTTATGAGCCCATATCACGTATTATTCATATGAGCACGCGATTGTGGAGAGACAGGTTGGTAAGCGTATAGCCTACATGAAATGGGTTTTCTGCTATTTGTAAGAACAGAGCAAAGAGGCCATCAAACGGCGGCACGAAGTGGCCTAAGAGGCCGCCTGAGTTTTTTTTTACCTCCACCTCCTTGTTTTTAAAAAAAGGGAGCAAACAAGCATGCGGCTCTTACCTATTTCTACCGCCCAAATAGTAGTGCTTGCACTTTAGTACTTGCGCAGTAGTGCTTGCACAGCAGTGATTGCACAGTAGTGCTTGCACAGTAGTACTTGCACAGTAGTGATTGCATAGTAGTGCTTGCACAGTAGTGCTTGCACAGTAGTGCTTGCACAGTAGTGCTTGCACAGCAGTGATTGCACAGTAGTACTTGTACAGTAGTGCTTGCACAGTAGTGCTTGTACAGCAGTGATTGCACAGTAGTATTTGTACAGTAGTGCTTGCACAGTAGTGCTTGCACAGTAGTGCTTGCACAGTAGTGCTTGCACAGTAGTGCTTGCACAGTAGTGCTTGCACAGTAGTACTTGCACAGTAGTGATTGCATAGTAGTGATTGCATAGTAGTGCTTGCACAGTAGTACTTGCACAGTAGTGATTGCATAGTAGTGATTGCATAGTAGTGCTTGCACAGTAGTGCTTGCACAGTAGTGCTTGCACAGTAGTGCTTGCACAGCAGTGATTGCACAGTAGTACTTGTACAGTAGTGCTTGCACAGTAGTGCTTGTACAGCAGTGATTGCACAGTAGTACTTGTACAGTAGTGCTTGCACAGTAGTGCTTGCACAGCAGTGATTGCACAGTAGTGCTTGCACAGTAGTACTTGCACAGTAGTGATTGCATAGTAGTGATTGCATAGTAGTGCTTGCACAGTAGTGCTTGCACAGTAGTGCTTGCACAGTAGTGCTTGCACAGCAGTGATTGCACAGTAGTACTTGTACAGTAGTGCTTGCACAGTAGTGCTTGTACAGCAGTGATTGCACAGTAGTATTTGTACAGTAGTGCTTGCACAGTAGTATTTGTACAGTAGTGCTTGCACAGTAGTGCTTGCACAGTAGTGCTTGCACAGTAGTGCTTGCACAGTAGTGCTTGCACAGTAGTGCTTGCACAGTAGTGCTTGCACAGCAGTGATTGCACAGTAGTTCTTGTGAAGTAGTGCTTGCATAGTAGTGCTTGCACAGTAGTGCTTGCACAGCAGTGATTGCACAGTAGGACTTTTACAGTAGTGCTTGCACAGTAGTGCTTGCACAGCAGTGATTGCACAGTAGTACTTGTACAGTAGTGCTTGCACAGTAGTGCTTGCACAGTAGTGCTTGCACAGTATTGCTTGCACGGCACTACATGCACAGCAGTACATGCACAGAAGTACTTGCACAGTAGTGCTTGAACAGTAGTGCTTCCGGTCTGAAGGGTATATAGAGAGCCAGTATAATTTCAAGCTGTGAAGCTTTCCATTTTAGTCCTAAGTGATAACGCATTTGTTGCCTTCTTCCTTTGTAATTCGGTGCAGATTTCCATGGACTGCAGGGACCACCTACGGTCAGGTGAACTGTAAGTGTGTTTGTCACTTCAATTTCGTATAAGCAAAGTCAAAACAATTTTCTAATTTCGAACAGAGCCTATTTAACTGCTACTTAACTAATAAAACTGATGATGATGGTGGAGATGGATTCTCTTACGTTGCTTGGACACTGTTACCGTTGCCATTACAGCCTATTTCCCCATAGATTGCTTCATTGGTGGGATATTTGCCATAGTTGCCACGCTTGGTATGCGGGTTTACAACCGCAATTTTACTTTTATTTTTAATCGTTATTAGGCAGACGCAGCTGCCCATCTCCTCATTTGTTTTCCTCTGTCGCCTCTAACGACATCCGCGTGTTTCATATATAGTTTGAAAAATAAATAGTTTTATCAAAAAAGTATTAGTTACTAAACACTTAATTCTAGATATACTTAGTATGAAGAGAGTAAAGTGATTCTATAACAAGCGTTTTAAAAGAATAGCTCGCTGAACTGATACAACAGAGTTTAAAATAAAAACATTATGTAATTTATAAAAACTTAGCATCATATCTTTTGAATAATAATTTATCTTTTTTTTTTCAAAAAATTCATCACGTTTTTTAAAGTAACATAATATATCGACTATATCACCCAAAGTTTGATTGGCGGAGAATGCCTCAGGCACATTTATACCATTCCTTTGCTTCCAATCATTCCAATATTAAGGAAGATCAGAGGCAAACATATGAATTGCACATTTAAAGTTAATTTTAGAAAATTAAACAAATCAATTTATCTTTTATTTTATTCGACCTTTGTATTTATATCTAACAAACGAATTGTCCTTTTTACAACGTAAATTTACAGCGTACTATTACTTACACACGTTACTTCACAATAGCGTTATTAATCTTACCCTGATTCTTACAACTACTTCGTCTTCGTTTGTAATACAGTTAATTGTTCTTTTGTCATAGTACTAGGCTGTCTTAGAGCCGTGGTAGCAGGTAGCAGATGGTTAGCGCTCGCTGTAAGTTTCACAGTACACGAGCAACCGGGTTCGACCCTCGCCGGCAATAACGAATTTGTTAATTGCAATTTTAAGTGCTTATTTACCACGTGCTCGGCGGTGAAGGAAAACATCATGAGGAAACATGCATGTCTGAGAAATAAGAAAAAATATTTCGAAGACATGTGAAGTTCGCCAACACGCATTGGGGCAGCGCGGCGGACATTTCCCTGTCCGAAAAACCCTCAGAAATGAGAGGAAGCCTGTGCCCAGCAGTAGGACGTATATAGGCTGTAACTTTAACTTTTTTTTTACTTTAATACTACTAATTGTCCAATATGCAATTATCGTAAAAGGTTTTTGAAGGTTTGTCAATTTTTATCAGAACCGTATTGTTTTTACTCTTGATATATACAATAGAATTGGCTATTAGATCTTGATTTTTATTCTAAATTAATTAAATGTGAAAAAAGTCGGACGCACCTTATCTAATCCTTATTTACCTTATAAAATCCTTATTTCGATGTATTTGGTTCCTTATTCCGAGTGTACAAAATGCAAACGAAAAAGGTAGGAAGAATAATACATAGTGCTCAATATCCTACAACCAAAATGATTATAATTTTTAAAAAATGAATAATCATCCCCGAGTGTGTAGAATTGACAAGTTAATTTTATTTTTAACACTGCATTTAATTAATTAACAAGGTATTGCTGACCAATTTTGATTTTCTTTTACAAAACCTACAGCGCGAGCATATTTTCAAGAAGTATAATTTTTGCACTATTATGTAGCTATGGGAACATTTTTGGAGATATATATATATATATATATATATATATATATATATATATATATATATATATATATATATATATATGGATTTATTGCGTAAGAAGCATCCACTTTCATAATAAATATAAACATTTCATACTTATGAAATAAAATCCTATTATTACCTAATATACCTAGCTAATAAATTTCATTTATTTTAATTCTACAAACTAACAAATAATATGTGGCTCTTCTAAAGCAAAATATTGTGTAAAATGATATAATGTATTTTGTGAATTATTATCCATAAATATTTACAAATACTTACCTAAGTTTGTGAATGTTATTACAAAGAAAATATTAACCTAATGAAACTAACGGTAAGTGCATAGCAAGCTGCGTAAAATTGTGAAAACTGTATTTTGAGTGTGTGTATATGCCACGGAATAAGGTACTCATAGAAACTTATCGCGATCTACTATACATCGGGATAGTTTGGTATATACCAAAAAATCTCGTTTCCTAATTCCGAGTATTGAAAATGCTATATTTTTACATAATTTATATATAAATAAATAATTAATTTCAAAATCATCTTAAATATAATATAATACTTGCTAAAAATTTCATCAAATTGTGTATGAACTTAAATTTTCTTTCTAGCTTTCCCAGACATCCCATAACTTTGACATGCTATAATTAGCGAATGAAACGCAAAAGTATACCTCGGAAATGGATTTTCGAATTCATTGCCTTTTTATGTTGTCAAACCCAAAGCGAGAAGAGCCTAATCATAAAAACAAACCTAAAAATTAATAATTTAGTAATAAAAATTTTGTACAACTGACTTCAATATAAATTAATAAGGATGATAACTCAAAAACTATAGGTCAGATCTTGTTCAAAAAAACCACATGTGAAGCACCGGCTTTCAAATAAATAAAGAATCATCGAAATCAGTTCACCCAGTAAAAAGTTATGAGGTAACACACATAAAGAAACGTACAGTCGAATTGAGTACCGTGTCCTTTTTGAAGTCGGTAGAAAAAGAAATCAAGTATCTGGTATACATCAGAATAAGGAACGGGCTCAAATATTTGGCAACTAATGCCGCGGTACTCTCAAGACGTATTTCCACCTTGATTTATTCAGAAAAACATACAAAAGTTTAGTGTTTTCGATTTAAAATATTATAATCCATAAAGTAGTTTAAATCAAAGAATTACATATATACACGGTACAAAAATAACCAAATAATCACCATTTAAAAAACATGGTATTCAATTGCAAAAGGTCCAAAATTGTATAGAATTTTGACCAGCTCCTGACGCAAGACCAACAAATTATACACATTCTTCCAGATCTTTGATACGTAAAGTTATATTACCAATTCCATAAGAGATCTTGCACTAAGAAAGAGCTTATGAATCACTCGTAAACGCAGTTTTTCTAAATACCTCGGAATATAGTGCCAATTTTAGAAACCCTCGGAACTAGGTGCCTTTACTTTATAACCTTTGTAAATAAATCAACAAGC